AGAGAGAGAGAGAGAGAGAGAGAGAGAGAGAGACGACTCTGAGAGAGAATTTTTCAGGTTACTCGATTAATTTGCACCTTCGTTACATGGTGAAACGAGAACCGGAACGAGAATCGAACATTTCATTTCGTTAAAAGACCATTTTAAGATTTATCAGAGCTTGATGTTGATTTTTCTATTTTTTTTTTTTTTTCTTCTTTTTTTCCTTTCTCCCAAGTCGTGGATAGAGGATATTCTTTTTGAAACTCGTAACTTTGCGCACGATTCACTTTGTAAAAGTACCATTTTTCGACGATGTTGTTCTTCATGGAAACTTTTCAGCGTTATATATCAAAGGTTTTTAATTAGAGGGTAAAAAGAGATGAGCGAGGCTCTCTTAAACGTTGTTTGCGAGCTTAAGGAGGGAAATGTTAACCTTTAACCTTTCACCTACGCATTAACCTTTAATTTTCAAGAACGAGGCACTTGTTTTAACTAATGAGCAAATGCGAGGACATTCCGTAAATAAAAAAAAAGCAACTCAATTAAGAGTTATATATATTTTTAATCCTTGTAACGAACACTTGAATTGTTCGCTCGTTGATAAACAAATTTATATTTATAGTTTTTTTTCCATTTTTTTCATTTTGCTATTTTAAAAGTGTCTGAAAATAGAATAAAATATTTATTTTTTTGTCTTCTAAATCATAAATTTTAATATTAATCGTAATTTGTAATTACATACAATTTATAAATTTACAATTAAATTTTAATATTACTTATTTTTAAATTACTTTTTTATATCCATCATTTTAACAATTCCATTTTTTAAAAATTATTATTTTCTTAAAGATAGAAAGAGAAAAGAGAGGAACTCTTATAAATATAAATTAAGCATTGCTATTTATAATCCCGTTACCTACATCGTTACACGAGAAATAAATAATTAGCATACAAGACAAATCCATTAAAAATATAACACGAGATTCGTCAACATCCGTTTCGACGTATTTCAATCGCCCATTCCCCTGATGTTCTTTCTCCCTTCTGATAAAACTTTAACGAACCATCGAGCATCGTTCACCTCCCTTTCGAAAAGGGAGAAAAAGGGATTCTCGCGTGGATCACGGTAAGAAGTGGTCAGAGCATCGGACGACATCGTTTCCAGTAAATTTTCCAAGCAGTATCGAAGCGCTATTCTGTCCCATTGTTCCAAGCTTTATAGTCCATCACGATACACGAACGAATTCCCTTAAATTTTATCTCGGGACGAACTTCAAAGTTTAATTTGTAAAAGCTAATTCGTTCAACTTTAATGTATTTCCTTTCTGATTCGTGGATGTACACATACGAATCCTCTAGGAATCGATCGAGCCAACTATTCGCCATTAAATGAATGAAAAAAAGATAAAAAAAAAGAAAAGCGAATGGTTCTATTTGATAGAAGATATTAAAATTGAGACGGTGAATGAAGAAAGGAAATTCATTAGTTTCTTTTCTGATTTTTTGGATTTCGATTTATAATGATTAATAGTTTTTTAATTTATTTATTATTAGGTTAACTGAAGACGAGGAGATAAAAGATTCATCGAATCAAAATGAATACTAAAAAATCTTAATTATAATTCCTTAAGTTAAATATCATTAAAATCAATTCAAGATTGATTTATAAGCAATCATATTTTGATAATAATTATAAATTATGACTGTGAATTTCATGAAATTACACCAATATATAACAAAGAAGATAATGAAAAAATAAATCGATTATCAAAATTTAATTATTAAATTAAACGTTTATATTCTATTATTTGAGAAATTCTGGATATTCTTATATTCGAAATATCAATTAAAAAAACGTTACTAAACTATTAATTACTCCTTTTTTTTTTATATAAAATAGGTTTTCGGATTTGATAAGAATCAAAGATGGAAAGTGTATATCTTTATAATTTCTTTCGCTCTACTTTCTTTTCTATCGGATCCACGACGAAACGTTTTTAGCGGAGCGGAGGAAAAGGAAAATGGCACGAACAAAGACCGTATTGAAGACGTCGAAGCGGGAAAAGAAAGCTTCGTTGTTGAAAGAGAAACAAAAGAACGAAAGTTCCATGGTTCTCCTCCTCTCCTCCCCTCCCTCCCTTCTCTCCTCCCTCCTCCCTCCTAATGACGATGTATCCTTCAAGAGACAAAGCTGAAAGTATATTTCTAAAGTAAAATTGATCGCCTTTCATTTCAAGGCTAATGACGTTCCCTGAATAATCAACATAAATTCTGAAAGTGAAATCTCCTGTTCTTAAATAAAATAAGAGATAGAACAAAGAGAGTTCACGGTTTCCTTTTTGTCGTCGCGTTAAAGATTCTAATGGTTCCAATGTAGTTTACATACAGAGGACAGTTCCTTTCCTCTGAAGAGCGAAAAGATTTCGTTTAGAAAAATTACTCTTGCGGCGAGGATCTGATACGTACACGAAAAACGACTCAGCAATGAAAACACTCGGGGTTTTGTAACAGCCTCATTCTTCTTGAAGTACAAATTTGAAAATAGCTAAGAGACACGGGAAAATTTCTTGTATAATCTCAATTTGAGGCACTATTTTCGATCAACGATATTTCTATAAATAATGAAAATTAATATTCATCAAATAAACT